AGATCGTAGATGATTAAGAGGAGCACTGTCTGTGTAATCCATGCAAATAACAACGCTACCTGTAGCTGTGTATAGAAATAGGTGCGTGAACATGTGTGTGTGTGTGTGTGTGTGTGTGTGTGCGCGCGTGCGTGTGTGCATGCGTGCTGTCGCAACATACCACGTGTTGTTTACACCTGAGAGAGAGAGAATGAGCGAGAGAGAGAGAGAGAGAGAGAGAGAGAGAGAGAGAGAGAGAGAGAGAGAGAGAGAGAGAGAGAGAGAGAGAGAGNAACACGTACCGTAGCATAGCAGGGTACACATAGCAAGTACCACACGTACCCGTAGCATAGCAGGGTACACATAGCGGGACCACACGTACCGTAGCATAACAGGGTACACATAGCAGGACCACACGTACCGTAGCATAGCAGGGTACACATAGCAGTACCACATGTACCGTAGCATAGCAGGGTACACATAGCAGTACCACACGTACCGTAGCATAGCAGGGAACACATAGCAGTACCACACGTACCGTAGCATAGCAGGGTACACATAGCAGTACCACACGTACCGTAGCATAGCAGGGTACACATAGCAGTACCACACGTACCGTAGCATAGCAGGGTACACATAGCAGTACCNATAAACTCATGTAATGGATTATTGGTAGATCCATCACGTATTTATTCTACCATCATGTTTATACTGTTTCATGCATAGCTTTAGCAAATAGAGATAGAGTGTGGCAAGTTAACTCGCAGTGCTACCAGTGGACTAACCCCTACTGTAGCATTTAATGTTAAAGGCAGCTGCGGGCCTCACGGGCTACGGAAACGGAGAATAGGCAGCGCCCTATGCGCCTATGTTCCACATAGGCGCGGAAAGGATTTAACTTTTATTACTGAAACGTTTGAAGTGTCTTGAGTGTACCACGTGACCATGTGACACACACACACTAGCAGTAGCAGGTAAACACACCTACAGCTTATATACAGCAGACTGGCGCACGCAGCACGCACGCACGGCCAACGCACGCACGCACCACGCATACACACACGCACGCACCACGCACGCACGCATCACACACGCACGCACTGCATACACACACGCAGCAGCACGCATACACACACGTCACACACGTGTCACACGCACAGCACGCACGGCACGAACGAACACGACAAGTATCAGGTAATCACAGCTACAGCGTACTACACCTGGCTAGGACAACACACAACACAGTATAGTACCGCCACACTGCTGCTTCCATAGGCAACACAAAGCATTTCTCCTTTCTCTCTCTCTCTCTCTCTCTCCTGCTCCATCTCTCTTCTCTCTCTCTCTCTCTCTCGCTCTTCTCTCTCTCTCCTCCATCACCAGCCTGCATGCACATACACATACAAAGTCATCCATTCTCATCATCAATGTCTGATATACTGGTCGTCACCACCACCACCGCCCCGCCGCTACCTCACCCACGCCAGCTGCTGCTGCTGGCTACTGCAGCTGCTGCGCTGCTGCTGTCTGCTGCTGCTGCTGCTGCTGCTGCTGCTGCTGCTGCTGCTTGCTCTGCTGCTGCTGCGCTGCTGCTGCTACTGTGGCTGCGCTGCGCTGCGCTCGCTCGTCCCTGGTTACGTGAGGTCTCCTGCTGTCATTAGAGAGCTGAGCTAACGACAACAGCAATCACACAGCGCATCTTGTGTTCCCCGCAGCAAGCAGCAAGCAGCAGCAGCAGCAAGCAGGCAGTGAAGTTCTGCTCTTTCTACTTCAGCGCTACCACACACACATGTACAGTGTACACGTGTGTATGCTGTCTGGACACACACGCGCGTGGACGCACACACATACCATGCACGCACACACACACACGCCACGCACGCGCACGCGCAACACTGCAACGCACGCACGCACGCACGCACGCACGCACTGGCGGCACAGCACACACACACCGCACCCGCACCGACACACACACCGCCCGACACACACAGCAACACAACACACGAGCACGCACGCACGCAGCGACGCACGCACGCACGCACGCACGCACACCACGCACGCACGCACCACGCACGGCCGCAGGCTCACGGCCCGCACGCTACGCACGCACACGACACGCACACGCACACCACAGGGCCACAGCACGGCACGCAGCGCAAGACACGCAGCACACACACACACGCACGCACGCACGCACGCACGACGCACACGCACACGACACACGCACACGCCAGCACACCGCACACGCACACGCACACGCACAGCGCACACGCACACGCACAGTAAGAGACACAGTAAGTAGAAGAGGTTCAGCCATTACCAAGCATGATTGACGACCTAACCACGCCTAGCTACAAATTACAGGTGTTTGTTCCTCAGTCTGTGTTCTTCTCCTCTCCCTCCTCTCTCCTCCCTCCTCCCATAGCTCATCTCCTACCGCACGCTGTCTCTGCATATATATTTCCTCACCCACCCTTCCTTTGCCCTCCTCCTATACCAGTGAGTTTCCTTCTCACTACTCTCGGCCTTTCCACCTGTGTTTCTCTCCCTCCTCCCTCCTACCCATACACCTCTTTATATATAATTATATATAAATATATACCGGTGCGCTCACTATTTTTCTCCCTCTCTTGTGGGCCTGCATTTCAATTTTTCGCCCCTATCCCTTCCTTTTCACCGCCTGCCCGGCATCCCTCCCTACGTCACTCTATATTTCCCTTGTTGTGGCAACGCGCCGGCGGCAGCAGAAACAGGCAGTAGTAGCAGTAGCCAGCAGCCGTAGCAGTAGGCAGTAGCAGCAGTATAGCAGTCACAGCAAGACAGGAGCACAGCAGCTAGCAGTAGCAGAGCGAGCAGTAGCAGTAGCAGTAGCTATAGCAGTTACAGCGCGTAGCAGTAGGGCAGTAGCACGCGTAGTAGCAGCAGCAGTAGCAGCCGCAGCAGCAGTAGCAGTAGCAGCCAGAGCAAGCAGTAGCATAGGCAGCAGCAGCGAGCCAGCAGCAGTTAGCAGTAGCAGTAGCAGCAGCCGTAGGCAGTAGCAGTAAGCAACGTGTAGACAAAGCAGCAGTAGCAGCAGAAGTAGCAGTAGCACGCAGCAGCAGCAGCTAGCAGTAGCGGCAGCAGTAGCAGCAGCAGTAGGCAGTAGCACAGCAGCAGCAGCAGCACAAGTAGCAGCCCCCCCGTAGTGGCAGCAGTAGTACAGAGAGCACACAGTAAGCAGAGCAGCAGAAGGCAGCAGCAGTAGCAGCGCAAGAGGCGAGGTAGCACAGCAGTAGCAGCAGCAGACCAAGCAGCAGCAGTAGCAGGACAAGCAGCAGCAGTACAGTCTAAATGCAATAGTAAAGACAGGAAGCAAGGCAGTAGCCCACGCAGTAGCAGCAGTAGTAGCCAGCGAGTAAAGCAGCAGTATAGCAAGGCAGCAGCAGCAGTACAGTAGTGCCAAGTAGTGGTAGTAGCAGCAGCCACAGCACGTATAGAGCAGAGTAGTGGAGTTAGTAGTGAGTAGCAGCAGCAGTAAGTAGTAGCAGCAGCAATAGCAGTAAGCAACACTACAGCAGTAGACATTGCTGATCACGCAGCGCACACTACATTACTACAATCCGCCTAGTTCTGTTGTTATTGTTGGTGGTAACTTACGCACGCGTGCACACACGCACACCCAGCCACTACAGGATATAACCAGCACGTACATAAACACTGTACAATAAAACACACGTACAAACACAGCTGTACTCGCGTGCCTCCTCTATTCCACCATGTAACCAAGTGATGTAACGTATATATACTGTTACGGTGCTTGTCCTTATATTCCACCATCGCTACAGCGTGTACATATTAATTAAGTTAAAAATAAAATAAACTCCTCACGTTGACCCCCGCGCGCACGTGACTCGCGTCACGTAAAAAAATTCGCGTTGCTTTCGCAAACATTGTGACACATTGCTGCAACTCTGCAGCCTGTGATCACGTACCTCGCACTTGCCGGCCAACCTAGTTTTTAATCGGGCCCCTCACAATATTTTTTTCTTTCATAGCAGATAGCTTTGACCCACGGAAAAATCTACATACCGGTATATCCATCTCTATCTATATAGCTAGCTACCTCTCTGTCTCGCGATCAATCTGTCTCTCCTCTCTCCCTCTCTCTCTCTTACTCTCATATATATATAATATATAGTAATATAATATATATATATATATATATAATATTTGTCTGTCTGTCTGTCTGTCCCCTGTCTGTCTGTCTGTCTGTCTGTCTGTCTGTCTCGTCTGTCTGTCTGTCTCTGTCTAGTCTGTCTGTCTGTCTGTCTGTCTGTCTGTCTGTCTTTCGCTGTCTGTTGTCTGTCTGTCTGTCGTCTGTCGTCTGTCTGTCTGTCTGTCTGTCTGTCTGTCTGTCTGTCTGTCTGTCCTGTCTGTCTGTCTGTCTGTCTTCGTCTGTCGTCTGTCTGTCTGTCTGTCTGTCTGTCTTCTGCTGTCGTCTGGATAGATAGATAGATAGATAGATAGATAGATAATAGGTTTATTGCAAAACTAGTGTTAAAACAACGTTACAATTAAAATAAATTTTGCAAACAAGATATCATCAGGCAGTATAAAACTGAAATTCATGATATTTACAATAATATATGTCCCATGGTAAGACATAGATATCACTTAAAATGTTGGTTCGTAAAATTATATCACTACAACAAAAAACATATTTAGAATATATACTAAATTTAAAATAACGTGATTCTTGGTAAAAAAATAGTTACAATTTATTAAAATTCGACACAATGATAGAATCAAACATATCACATATAACCGAGTTCCAGCTCAATTGTTCATTTGCAACATGCATTCTCAACGTGGATGAGCATTCATGTGTTGCTTTAAATATGGTGTTTGCTTACAGGTGTTAGACTGGTAACTAAGCAATGTTGCATCATGTTGTTGCTTGTAGCTAAGCAATGTTGCATCATGTTGTTGCTTGCAGGTGTTGCTGTTAACTAAGCAATGTTGCATCATGTTGTTGCTTGCAG